AATATTGGATTTTGTAGCCAGTCAGACCTCCCAAAATTTCAGATAGGTAGAAGCAACTCTCCAAAAGGTGGATGAAAACAGTAGTGTTCAACAAAAACATTTAATGAAACATCATGGAGCTTGAGATCTCCTCTTTGCCTGTGTTGGGGACTTGTGTATGGTGCTGAACAACACTGAATACTGTACTTATCTTTCCGCTGATTTTACTACTATAGAAAGTTTAATTAAAAAGGTGGCTGATATTAGACTCTGCCACCAAATACATTAAGGACATTTCTCAGGGGAAAGGAGCATGTGATGTGTTCATAGGTGCAGGAAACAGTTGGTTTGTAGGCATCCTGAATGGTGGATGTCAACAATGTCTATTCCAAGGTTTGTTAACCTTTGTGTTTCTTTATTTTTTTTTTAGTGAGTCTTCAAATTAATATGACTTGTGTTACTAGGCTAACTCCAAAAATAGATACCGCTCCAAATGAGGCCATTTTACAGATAACTATGGTCCTCAATTGCCATGATGCCCCAGACACAGACAATGACCAACCGGACTCGAATACTGTTGAGGTTGCAGTGAACTACAGTTATTTCCTGAACTTGAAATTGGTTGACTTTGATCAGTTTGGTTTGTGCTTCAGTTTCTTGGTATTATTGTCCTGATAGTCATCACAATAGTCTCCCTGATGTGTTGTATACCCTTAAGAGTCTTAAATGCTCATACGCAGTCATCCTTTGTAGATCAAATTGTCTCATTATTGTTAGAATAACAAAAACATGAAGGAAGCATAGGGAATCATTCAATTAATTTGACATTGTGAATTGCTAATTTCATCCTGCTTTGTAACACAGTGGAGAAGTGGAAAGGAAAGTGGGCTTGTGCAAAAGGGAGGAGACAAAGTGGTCCCACCTGCTTCGTAACAATCTGTTCTTGTGAGAACTCAGTTCCACAGAACTGCATTAGTCCCTTCATGAGGATGGAACTCCCCGGACCCAAACACCCCACTAGGCCACATCTCCTAATGCTGCTGCATTGAGGGATTAAGGCTTCAACACATGAACTTTTGGGGGGCATACTCAAACCATAGTATGCTCTCTCTTTATTTTCCTCAATAAAACCCTTGCATGCTTAGTCTCATTTTGACATCTCATCTGGGTTAAGTAGAATCTGAT